ATGGATCTTTTTAAGTTATTTCAGACTAGATTAAATAAGTAATAATTATAATTAATTAAAATGGTTCACGAGGAGCGCATGCGAGCAGCTCGTGGGTAATGTAATTCGATAGTGTATCGTGAGCTGCACGTTCCCCAAGTGATTTACAACTTATAATGGCAGGAATAGCAAGCAGTTAGACACAGTTTAAAGGGCAATAAAACAATAAAATTTAATTATAAATAGATGTATAATGTTACAAACTTAGAGTTACTTAGGATAAATGAATGTAGTTTCAGGTTACAGTTTGAAGTCATTCTAGAAAGAAAAGGTTAATTTAGGTTTATTTACATTTTTCTTATGGTGGTTACGAGGTCAGTTGAATTGACCAATCTCGTTTTGAGATAGGGTAAAGAAAATAACAAAAACTATAATGATTTAGTGACAAAAAAACGTTCAAAATGCATTTAGGAGGTTTTAGGGATTACACTTAGCAAATCTGAGATTTTTGAGATGACGAAAAGTATATTTCATTTTAACATTTTAACTATTCAAAATAAATACTCAATATAATCATGGAAATAAGTTTTCTAATTTTTACATTTTAGTTGCTTTTATAGCAATTAGAAAAAATATACATGAAAACAAAAACATAGATCTTACATTTGATCTCTTTTTTTTTCTGTCTGTTACTGATGAAATTTAAGACCACTTTTTTTCATAATGATGGCAGTACTACACTAAGTAATTTTTATTTACTTAATTAATGCACCAAAGAACACAGAATAATAACATGCACAAAGCAATGTCTATAACTATTATAATGTAACTGGCTTTCTATCTAAGCCAAGAGAAACTTTAATTAATTACCTTAGCTGCCCTGATTTGAAAAGCACAAGATAAACTCTCAAACTGGAGATGAAATTGACAATACTCTCTACTGAAATCAATGTAGTGTTACATGTCATTCTACATATAAAAACATCCTTTCCATTAGTTATAAATGATATAGCATAAAAAATCAGAGAAAATTATTGGCAATTTATAAAAGAGAGGATATAACAGCTGGGCATGAAAAGTGAGTTTGATTTTCTAGTTTATGACTCATAAGCAAGTAAGACAGAAGGCTATAAAAATTAGAATTTCTCTTAATAATGTCTATATTATAATGAATAATGTACATAAAATTCCACACTTCAGATAAGAGGAAGACCTAGAGAACAAATATCATGACTCTTGTACTAAAAAAGATTGAGGATTTTTTAAAATATTTTCAAATAAAATTAACTTAAAACCTTTATATTAACATTAAGTTTTTTAACTATGTTTTGATGCCAAATTTATTAATGTACATTGATAATAAAGTAATTTTATTAAATTTTGAATGTAACTCAGTAAAAGGTTGTGGCATGCACACTTTGACCTACTTATTGCTAGAGGGTTAATTGTGGTAGGTTTAGACTACTAACCATCCAACATTTGATATTAGTTATTTGCAACAAAATAAACTAAAAATCGCTTGAAACAAAAATTAGTTTCACAAACTTCTAATCACTTTTGTTTTATAATAAATACCAAAAATTTAATGTAAACATACCAATCATGACAGCTCGTCCTTTTGGATCAATAGACAGATAATGTCCTGGTACAATCCTTCTACATCCACTTTTTCCAAATGTTTCTTGGTGAACCTTTTAAGTTTTAATAAATAAAAACATGCTGCTAATAAACAAACTCAAGCCCTTTTCAACATTTAAAATTGTTTACTACACGAATAGCTGAAAATTAGATGAAGTTTTAAGTCAACTATTAATTTAATATATTCACTAAAGTTCATTAATATTAAGATATACAAAATGGGTTAATGCTCATTCAAACTACTAGCAGAAAACCCTGAGCTCTACTAAGGGATTCAAAAGCTCCCTCGTGATTCATAGAGGCCCCAGTATACTAATCAAGTTCTTCCTTTATCCTCAATTTCTTTTACAGCTCCTCCAAGGGAAGTATCCCTCCCCCTCAAAAAAACAAAAACTGTTAGGTCACCTGAACATGGTACCGGAGTACATGTGGCAACTTTGGTCACACCAACTTGTGAATTGGCATATTAGTAGTTTCAAAAACAAAAGAGTGAAGAATGCAAACTCCAATGCAGATTTAACCCTGTAAACCTACTCCTAGATCCCAACAATGCCTGGATGGTCTTACTGGTGTGTTTGGCCCTCCCCAATGGTGAGGGAGGGAGCTACACCACACATAAGGACATTCCCCAAGGCCTACCAAGTTTGGTCCTGCTAGCTCCAAAACTGATAAGAGTTTGCAGATAAAAGAAAATTAATAAAGCACAATATGAATTAATATAATGTTTATAAAAGCAAATTTTAAATTTTTTGTTCACTTTCATATTTCCTATGTTAATGAATTTCTGGACCTTGCATCAACTCTTTAGTTTATACTGTTTTATCAACTTATTGTCACTTATTAAAATGTTTACATTATTATGTACACTTTCAGAGCCTAAGAGTAGGACTAAAAGCTCAGTATTAAAATTAGCTTCAAAGAAGTGTAAACCTTTTACAAGTTTAACTAATGAGATTAACCATATTTCATTAAAGTTTATCTCCAAAAGTGACTCACAAATATACAGTATGACCAAAAGTATTTCATAATTTGTGACACAAGATAGTGTTTGACTCCTGTAGATACATAGGGGTAAATACAACTATGGTATGATTTATTAAAGTTTGGTCAATACAACAGCAACTATATTTACTTTAGATTCTATTACATTTTAAGTTAACAAAATAAAAATTTTACATTAACTATATTAAGACTCTTTTAATATTCAAAAGAATCTCTAAATTATTAGTCTTTGTCACAAGTTTAAATTTTTTACCCCTTTAAGAAGCTTACAAGCAATTTAGTCTACAATCTTAGCTTTAACAATCCTTATTATTTTTATTTTTTTATGTCCAATGATGTTCAAAATAAAAAATATAGATAAAATTATTTTAAATATGGTTTCTGCTTTATTTCTAGAAACTAAAAAATACAAGAACACTGGTCTTTTATTAACAAATACA